CCCCAAAACCCCAAAACCCCGTCTAAAACCCTGTAAAAAATAAAGGGTTACAAACAATAGTAGGAAAAATTTATTTTAAGATTACATTTAAGTAATTTTAATATTTTCTCAAGCAATTAGAAAAAATTAAAAATGGAATATATTCCTTCAAGGGACAATAATGGATTCACACCTTATGAAGATGTTTATTAGAAATATTAGGATTCAATACCTCTTGAAAAGGTGAAGAACATGACTCATCTTAGATCTAGGAATATTGAGAGATTCATTTAATGTTGACTTTGCAGTAACTTGATAAATCACTTAAGAGGATTTTATTGTGGAGGCTGCAGAGAGCCTTTTTGTGATGAGTGCGATCGGGTCTAGTTCCAAAGAACTATAGTCGCATAACAATATTAATGTCCTTGCTAATGTTCCTTAAATGATTGCAGAAAGAGGTCAATGGATAGTGATTATGTGAATATCCATAAAGTCTATTATGACGTGCTTAGTATGAAGTGTAAATACAGTACTACCTGTCTCTATTCAATGCCTTATGAGTCATTTATTGATATTCAATACCATTCAGATTGCCAAGAACGTCTCTTTTAATGCCGATTCTGCCCTTCTAAAATCAAAGCAAGAGACAAGATAGCTCATAGAATGTAATGTAATGAATTACTTAATAAGGCAAGATTAACAAAAGTTGAAGAATATGATGATCCATTTCATGCTCAGGATAACTTGAGGAAATTGTATTTTGGAGATACAAGTTTTAGAAGGCCTTAGACCTCAAATCAAATTCAATAATTTAAGCAAGAGACTGAGGATATGAGTCTTGGCTAATAGTTAAATTATGCAAAGCAAATTGCCAAAAGAGATCAAATAAATAATCAGTTAAATAATTAAAGAACATCAGCCATCCAAAACTAATATTAGAGATAGAGATAGGCCATAGAAGAAGCTACTAGAGAACGATCATCTTTAGAAGATGATGAAGTGTCCATGTTTGTCTAATAAGATGAGTAAGTTGATGCTAAATATAATGCTCCTACACCCCAGGTTTTTCCAACCTTTTCAAAAATATAAGACAATCTCAATGTAAATAGTGGCTAAACAACACCTCGCATTTCTCCACCTAACCGTAGATAAGTTAATATCTTAGAATAAGAAGCTAGAAACTAACTTCATCAAACAAGAACTTAAAATCCTGAAATGATTTAGTAGCAATCCTACTAGTAAGAAGTAAGAAGATAGAATCTAGGTAACACTATCTTAACCTAAATAAATCAATCTAGATAATAAAATCAGCAACAAATCAGCATACGGGTTGATTAGAGCAGGCTTAATTCAAGTTCATTAGGACAGTTTAATGCATAAATAAATACTAATAATCAATATAGAGATGATGAAGAGATGTCGTATTAATCAGAAGTAATGATTGATACTACAACTAACAATAACAGATAAGTTGGTATTAGAGCTACATTTAGTGAAAGGTTTCCTGATGATGTTTGTCAAACTTGCAAAAATGATATAGGTAGATAGAAATTTGAATGCCATACCTGCACAGAATAAAGAATATTTAATGAATATGAAAAGTAGCTGAACTAAAAAGAAGAAGAATTTCATGAATAGCTATCAAATAAGGATGCGGAGATTTAACAATTGAAGTAAAGATTCAAAATGCTTGAATAAAAAAATGCTTAACTGAAATAGAATGTTGAAGATCTCTAGTCAGATAAACAAATTCAAAGCTAGTAGCTATAAAAAGCCTATTCAGATTAATAAAAATAAAATGAACAAATAGCCTTCCTTAAAGACATAATACAACAGTTACAATAGCAAGAAAGAGAGTAAGTATAAGGTATTTGCTTCAAGTGCTAAAAATAGTTACTATCTGCAGACTAAAGATAAGATAAAGTTACATTCTGTGTTTAATGCTTGAAAAATCTATCTCAAAACAAGGTAAATTATAACTTCATCTTGCAAGATTCAGAAGATGGAGGTAAAGAGCATTATTTTAAATCGAAATTTGAAGAGGATTGATATTTGAGTGTAAAGTCATTGTGATTTCAAATTAAATATTATTACCTGCCCATTGAATTTTGATTTTAATGATATTTTATTTGTTTTGAATAGCAACAAAATTTGATACTAAGGGGTTTTGGGGTTTTGGGGTTTTGGGGTTTTGGGG